ACCGAGAAGAGGGAGCAGAGGGGAGCGGAGGCGGCCGGGGGAGCACTCGGCGGCCGTGCGGCGGCTCGGGGCACCAAGACGGTGGGGTCTGCCTGCCGCCTTCCGAGTCACGAAAGATCCGCTCTCCGCGGGCCTTGCGTGCACTCCTGCCCTCGCTTCTGTCGTCCCGCGTGTCTGCCTATCCACGGCTGCACCCACGCGGTCCCCCGCGCCTCCATCCCTCCATCTCCCTCCATCTCCCTCCATCTCCCTTTGCCGGGTAGACGCGGCCTCGGAGCGTGGGGGAGAGCGGGCATGTAGGTGTGTGTGTGTTCACGTTATTTATTGCCTTCATTTACCGTCCAAAAGCTGTTGGCACATACATTTTCAAGTACAAATTGCTGTTGTACTACATATTCCCCTCTCACCAATCTGCCGCCAGAGTCCTAAAACACATCCCTAATACGTTTTACAAGTGAATATTATCACCAACGAAAATAATTAAGCAACGTGATACATTAATTCACGACGTCCGTCCTTGCACACGTTTCAAAGAGAATTATTACTTATACTCCCCGCGTTACAGAGAATGTTTTAAAATGGTGGTAGGGAACTTACTGTGCCGGGATTACTGCGTAGAGTTACGTGTGCAAGGAGTTTTATTTGCAAACGTTAAGAAAATATGGCGGAAGAAGGATTTGGAAGGAAAAGAAAGACAAAACTGAAAACCAAAACGTATGTAAACATCGTACAGTCTTTATTTTCTCAGCTTCCCTTGAATCAAGAATGTTAGGTGTAATAATTTTCGCAGATGTGGAAAGAGATGCAAGGGACAGAGGGAGCAAGCTATTGCTATTACTGTATATTTAGTGTATTTATGGGAGCACTAACATCAGAGCACCATTCCATTCCTAGCGCAAAATGCGCAATATAATTAAAGACAAAAAAAAAAAAATTCAGTTTCACTTCAATCTCCACGTTGTTCACTTCCAGTCTTGGATTCAGAGACATACATTTTAATTCCCAGTGTCTGGAAATGTTAGTTTATAATCGCCTGATTCTTGGCGTCGTGGGTCCCTCAGTTTTCCCATGGGCAGAAAATGTCCTTATGTCTTGACGCGGACAGACAGGTATAACAAATGCTACACTTTTTCCCACCCAGAGAATAATCTGGTATTTAATCTATCCCTGCCTAGAGCACTTGGCAGTAGCAAAGGTGGTTTGCTATGGGAAATAAACCTTGACAGGAGCATATTTCCGAAAAAGAATAACTCTAAATCTTTTTTTTTTTCGGCTGCCTTTTGCTCAGAAAGATTCCAGTTTAAATACCCTGGAATGTTGTCCTCAGTGTTGAAATATTAGGGAAATCTCCTGTTACTTCCAGAAAAACGAGTTAATATATATATAAGTGTGTGTGTATATACATATATATATATGTCTGAGAGAATGGGTAAGAATCTCGGTCTCTAGCCTATACATTAAAAATATCTACGACGTAAATAAAATCCCATTCCTGGTGCATTTCAGCATTCTCCGTGGGCAGCATTAGCAATAAAATCAAGACAGCGTTTAATACAAAAAAAATATTGGCAGGCGCTAAAAGGCCGTTTGTCGCCATTCATAACATTTAGATGCGTTTCAATGCGCTATCATGAGGATCTGAAGAGATGTCCTTGCGCACTCTCGGCCCTTAAAGGAGTCCAAAAGGAAGAGGGGGAGGGAACCAGGGGGAGGACTTTGCAGGGGGGCCCGGGGGAATGTGGGGCGGTGGGTGCCGGACGGGCCCTTGCGCCCCGGCCGCGGGGGCGGGGGTCCGGCCACGCCGTGAGCCTTTCCCTGCCCCTGGGCCCCCTCCCCCTTGATGCAGTTGATTCATGAACTAGGGTACGAAACGCTAATGTTCATTAAGGCTATCCTCCTCCCTTCGGCCTCCTTCCCGCCCCCGCACCCCCAAAAAGAATAATTTTTTTTCCTCCAGTGAATAGCTTCAACATGGCGTACTGCAAGGCAGAAGCTTTGCCCGTTCCTAGATCTGAACTGTGATTAAACATCCCCAAAGAGAGCATCTCTCTTCCTCCCGCCGCTTCCCCCTCCCTTCCCTCCCCTTAGCGTAAAGCGCCCTCTTCTACGTAGGAAAGGTCAAGTCCTACAACGCACAACCCACGGTCATTACTGTACTGTGACCCGGGGTGTACTGGGGAGGAACGGCCGGGTGTCTCGTGATCAAAAACACTGGGACTTTTTCTTTCTTTTCTTTTCTTTTTTTTTTTTTTAATTTTATTTCTCCTACTCGTGCGATGGGAATCCGTGGAATTAGACAGCATTTTAGCCTCCCGCTACCACCTTGTGTGCAAATCGCCATCGGAAATCCTAAGGGACCAGGAGAGAAACAGAGAAAGAGAGGGCGGGGGGGAAGAGAGAGGGGGAAAAAAATAGCTATAATAGTAGTAGTAATAATAATAGCAATAATCGTCATTAGCCTGTGATATCGCTGCATTTTGCCTGAAGCTGGCAGGAAGGACGGTGTGCCCCAGTGGCTAGATTTCTCTCCATCCAAAGGCAAACCAACAACAACTAGAACAAAAAAAATTACAAACCCCTACATCAACAACAACCCAAGACACTGAAAAATCGAGAAGAAGTGTTTGGTGGACCGTGTATATTTAATCTGTAAGAGAGGAAACCAAAAAATATGCAATCCATCCTCACTGAACTGGAGATCTACAGCCCAGCGCGGGATCCTAACTGTCAGTCTCCGTGGGGATATATTTTTGCACAGGCGAGACACTTCTGGATGCTGGGGTAAGATTTTCGTGCTCTTCCTGGAGGCGGCTCAATGTCTCTCCTCTCTCCCTGCTCGGTGGTGAACTAAGCAAACAAGCCAACAGCAAACACCCACCCGGTCCCCTCGCAAAGAGCCCCCTGCATGAGTGGAGCGAAGTCATTCTGGAGGCCTTTGTGGAGAGTTTCCCAGGCCCCTGCTCCCCCCCAGCCCACCCAGCCGCCCCACTCCGTTTCTCCCACGGTGTTTGAGGCCGAAGTGCCTCTTCTCCTGCGGGGACCTGGGGGCAGGCGGCTGCCTGAGCTGATGCTAATAGAGCCGGAGAGCCAGTTGAGAAAAGTAAGACTGTTTCTCCTAGCTTGGGTGCCGGCTCCACCTTCCCCAGGGATGCTGCTTTCCTCTCTAGCATAGGTGGGAAGCAAAGAGGTCCCTTGGCAGGAAAGTGCGCCAGGAGAGGCTGGGGTCAGAGCCCAGGACGAGAGCAGACTCGCAGACAGAGCTGCTGGTTGTTTGGCTTTGTGCAGCGCCGTGCTGTACTGCAGAGCTGGGTCAGGCTGCATGGAAAAGCGTCTCCTGGTTTTTATCCCCGGTTGTTTTATTCCCGTGTACTTGCCTCTGAGATTATTTTAATCATTCAAGTGCCGGGGAGGAGGGTGGACGGCTGTGTGTGGAAGAAATATGGGGAAGGATGTTTAACCGGTCTGCTTTTCGCCATTGTTTGTGTGTATCTAGAGAGAAAAATGCCAGCCGGGCATTGTAACCTGTCAGTTTTAATTAATCTGAATTTCGTCGTAATCGCCTTGATTTGAACGCACTAAGCAAATTGCTTTCATTTATTCCCGATCGTATAAAACGACCTATATGGTCGGCTTGGGTGAAGAGTAATGAAAAAGAGGGTTATTTCCATCCTGGCTTCGAAATGCCTTCGGGTAGGCAAGAGAAAAAAAAAAAAAAAAAGGAAAAAAAATTTGGTTTTTGATACAAAGCAATCTCGCATGGACTTCGTCTACAGATAGTGGCTGATTTACATTTAAATATGTGAGGATTTCTAAATACTGTGCTGTATGAACATTTGATGGGAAAATAAAACCGAAAGAGAAAGAGCGATTAGCACCCACCCTTCGCCTGGTCCCATTCTGGACGTTCTGCCCAATTTCACTCGGGCTCTGCAATGTGGATCCGTCATGCTTTTGAGACCCGATTTCTGAAAGGACTGATATTAGAATTTGTTGAAAAGTCGGGAAAGGGAAACGAGCGGGACAGTGAGCGGGCTCCCACCCGGGCACAGGCAAGAGCAGCCATATTAGGCTTGGAGGAAGAGCTGTTTGTATGGGTATCTTTGCTGTACATATGAGAGAGGAGACGAGAAAGGATCCTTACGAGCTGGCTGAGTTGTACATGGGCATATGATCGCATCCTAAACTGCAGCACGTACTTTAAGCTCTTGTTATACGAATAGCTTCCTATAAAATTTGCACAAGTACAGGTACCTTAATTATAATACAATTCTGAGAGTCCATCAAAATATGAAGTTGGAGCTTTGAAGTCGTTGATTTGACAGTCCCGGTATAGCGATACTTCCTGTACCCGCCCCCTAAAGCAAGAATTGATGAAGAAATGTCTTTAGTTCCGTGGGTTTCACGATATGTGCATAAGGCTCTCCTATAAAGTTAGCAGTGGTACAGTAAAATCTGATGTGTTTCTTGGCGAGTTGGGCAAAAGAATTAAATAAAAAATTGAAATACCTTTATAAATCATTGTTAAAATTTAATGTGCATTAGAGAGAACCTTATATCCTATAAAATTCAATTTAGCTTAGAATCCCAGTCAATTACCTTGACGTGAATTTCTGTGGCATAGTGTGGATCTCGGCATCTCAGAAACAGTCTAACTACGACAGGCTGGTCTCGGCGTTGAGGCATTTCACTTTCTGTAGCTTTCTGGACTTAATCTAGAGGGCACATTATATTTCTCATAGCTCTTGTGCTTTGTTTATATCCCGAATTGGTATGCAGAAAATGCTCCTTTGCCAGAGGCAACGCGATAGGATTATTTTTTTTCCTCTCAGTGACTATATTTCCTGGATTAACAAATCTAAGGTCAAGTTCAAGGCATCGATTCTAGCAATACTTTTAAATGTAAGTCGACACGGGAATGTTTTGGCGGACTTTTTTTTTTTTTTTTTCTTTTTAATGATAGAGTAAAGCGGCACTCTTCTTTGCGGGTGAACTTTGCATGGGAACATCGCCTGGGATATGGCCGTCTGCAGGGATAACTGTCGATTACTAGCACCTCACTTTCAAGGGATCACCGGGGATGTTTCCCTAAACCGCTCTGCTTAGTTCTTCATAAAATACATTGTCACGAAAGGGGACTGGTACCTGCTTACTGCAAACGGTGCTAACGACACGGCGCTTTGTGGGTCTGGGTGGGAGTGGGGGGAAAGTGCCTGCTCTTCTGTACCGGCGCATTATAACCAAGAAAATTTGCTTTCGCACCAGTTTAGAGCCCGCCGCTGGCTCTAGACACCCCTCTCCCGCAGACTAAGTTTGCTAAAAGTCTCTTGCACCTGTGTCTGGATAGACGGGGGAGGGAAATAAGTCATTGTGTGTATGTTTTCTTGTGCTGGGAAAGACTCCGAGAGTGTTCAAGGGGAGAAAAAGAGACATTTATAGAAGCATCGTCAGTCAATCAATTTCTGATATACTACATGGTGTGAGAAAACCTCTGCTTGCGACCGTCTTGTTGCCAAACCCGCCAGCATTGTCTTTCAGAACTAGGCTCCGAGCAGTAAATATAAACATTTTCGAGGTGTTCAGAGCCCCGAGACCCTGGAGCTCTGGGCTGGGAACCCGGGGGGTGAGGAGACACATTGTGAGAGACTCCCCGCGCGTTGGGAAGGCGCCGGGAGGCTGTCAGAACAGCAAATCGTTTGGCTGCTGGTGAGCAAGAGAATAGCTGCCGAAACATGAAGTTTTCTATCTAGAAGTAGCTTTCTCTCCTGAAAAAAAAAAAAAAAAAAAAAGGAAAAGAAAAGAAAAAATCCGCAATATTTCAGTTACTTGCAATTATCAGAGTCAGAGAGCCCTCAGATGTTCATAAGCTCAAAGGGATGCAAAATATCATGATTGGTGGCCAGCAACGAGTACACTCTGTAGGTCCGTAGTAGTTTAATCCTAAAATTAAAACTAGACGGGAGGCTTGGTTGGGGAAAAAAAAAACAAACTAAAAAAAAATCGCCTTTTTAATTTCAGCAACTTAAAAAGACACAGAGAGTGACAAAGGAAAGGAAAGGATTTTGCTAATTTATACTAATTTGTATTAAAAATTAATCTGAAGTATTCTAGCCCAGATGACTGCAGCCTTTGGAGGTGTTCAAGCCTCTGAAATAATGCAATGTGGTTAAAAAAAAGGTCAGAATTACATTGAATCTGTTTCCATCTGCTCGTTCTCTTTACACGTATTCTGCAGTTTCCTAGCAAAATCACAACCACGCCGCCTCACGTTTTGGAAAATAAATAGCCATGTCACAGTACGGGGCTTCCATCTCATATATATATATACACATATACAAATACATACAAGAATTCACCTATTATTTAAAATTATTTAGCTAGCTATTGTAGCACTTCATTCTACTGCAAGTACGGAAACACATTTAGTTAAAAAAAAAAAAGTATACATGTAGCTTCTTTCCACAACAGACAAAACGGCAAACAGAAAAGAAATGCCTTTTAAGAACTTCTGAGCCCGAGCTATTTAAAATCCAATAATCAGCAGGTCTTTCTGGTCTTTCTGAAGCTGAATTCCTGGCAAATTTTGCGACGAATTATCGCCCTGTGCCCCTATTTACATTGGTAAAGGTGGAAAGACGGTGCGCTTTTTTTTTTTTTTTTTTTTTGGCAGCAACATTTCAAATTCCCTAATGTTACGCTTTTCTAACAAGCCTTTGTAGACTGTAACCAACCCTCAGCTTTACGAAACACTGTCCTAACTCCTTAGATATTTTCTTCTGCTCGAGTCGTAATACCCCTCACCCTCCCTGTGCGAGAGAAGCAGCAGAGATTGAAGCCAGCGATCCTGTAATATTTTAATTAGCTCGTCTTGACGCAAATTCCTTCTAGCACACGTTCCTCCTGTTAATTAGAGGCACCCACCCTACTGGCAAGGTAAATGGTCGGCTTGAAATATTTTCCAAGCAAAGCCCGGTACAAAAAGACAACAATTTAGATACAATAGAACTTGACCTTTTGGAGAAGCAGTAGTGAGTTAAACAGCTCCCCTTGCACACCATCTGTAGATGTAAAAGCTAGACTATCGAGGCGTCCTAGTTCTGTTTATATTCCTCCAAAGAAGAAGAGATGTAGCTTTTTTCTCCTCCCTTTGTTTAGCTTAGCTATGGGTAACAGTCTCCCCACCTCTTGGCCACGCTTCTCCTTTGCAAAACCGTCCTGCAGCAGAGGTTCCAAATTCAGAGCGGCTTTACCCTCTCTAATCCGGTCGAAATACACGGGAAGGCGTAACGAATGCATTTTGCTTCTCCAAACGAAATGCCTGCCTTTGTTTATGTTGTTCTCAGTGAGGTTAGCGAGGGGAAGGCTCGGTTTTCCCCCTTCCTCAACGCGGAAGTCCCAATTACTGTATTAAAAGAGCAATTCAACATTAGACCAAATAATCAACATTGATAATTGTGCTGAGCACAGCAACTTAACAGCAGGCTCCCTGCAATTACCCACACATTCCGGGACTTTAAGCGTACATTATCTCTTGTTTCACTTAACAGCAAATAAAGCAGAGAACAGCCTGTGCCTTGGGTGTCTGCTCGCTCCCAGACGAGCTGTGCCCCCCTCGGTTTTCCCCATCAGCCTTCCCGCTTGTTGTGCAGGCGTTTTGGGGTCCCCCTGCGCTACAAACCCGCTCGAGGAGAAATAGGCTGCTTGGTTTGGAGAGGTGGGGGAGCGAGCCCCGGCGATTCAAAAGCAGGCATCGGGGCCGCACGTGTGCATGCTGTGCAAGCACATATATGCCCAGACACACGCACACCCACGCACACACACGCCTGTTTCCAGTTGCCTTCTCGCCCTTCTTGCCTTAATTTCCCTTTGTTTCCCAGAGGCAGCCCCGAGCTCTGGCACGGCGGAGCCTCGCACGGCGCCGCAGCCCCCGCTGCAGAGGGGAGCGGCGAAGAGCCCCATACAAACCTGTGCCAGCTGCGCGCCCCATTCCTAGCCCCAAGGTTTGAAATTTATTGAAATGCAAGAGGGCGGCTGCAGTGAGTCCGAGGAGGTGGCGTCCCGCGACTCAGCGCTGGGCAGCTCTGTCATGTCTGCTCTGACACAAGCTGAAGTTGACTGCCAAAGTGCTATAAAACCGCAGGTCAGTCTAGAACTGTTTTCGGTTCCCCTAGACGCGCCGTGTTCAATTATAGCCTTAAAAGCCCTAATACAAGTGCAAGAATTTGTTTGCCATCACACAGAGGCGGGGCGAGGCTCGGCAATGGTGGCGCCTTTGTTATCTCAAAGTCACTGAAATCCTTATACATTCCTTTTTGTTCGAAGGGAGGAGTGTCTGCGTGTGTGCAGGGTGTGGGGAGAGGTTTTCATCGACGGAATTGAACGGTGCGGGTATACAGGGAAAATAACCAATGTTCGGACACCAAAAGAGGGCTTCCGACCCCCCAGTCCACTCCACCCACCACCCCACCACGACCACCCCCCGCAAAAGACTAGGGGGAAAGTAAATGAGAGCAAAATTACAGCGTTATGGAAAAAGCCAACCAGAGCTCTGGCACACCCCTCCCCACCTCAAGTTAAAAAAAAAAAAATTAAGAGGGAGAGAGAGGGAAAGCCCCCAAACCTTTTTACAATCCCTAAACGACATTGCAGTCTTCTGCTAGCGGTTTTGACGACATGCAATCTCTTTCCATCCACTTTCTAGCAAATATGTCAAGCTGGAAGATTAATTCATTAATTTCAAGTTCAGCTCACAGACGTGCAGTAAGCATAAGAAGTTCTTGCAGCAAACCAAAATAAAGAGTTCATTACAGGGATACGTCCAGAGCATTTGATTTGTGAACGGTAACCCTTGTAAAATAAGAAAAAGGCATATAAACATTAATGCTAATAAATTAGTTTACTCCACTACAAAGTAATTACTTGATAATCTTGAATTTACAGCTTGAATTCAAACGCAATAGTTAACTATAATGTAGGGGAAATACATAATGAGAATATTTTCTCTCTGCATAACATGATTAGATTTGTTATTGAGTCGGTTACGATAAGCTAAGCAATAAATAAACAAATCGATGTTGACATTTAAATACCGAGGATCTCCACAATTTACTGGAGAACTTTCTCCGGATATATAAATACTTCCACAGCACTGCAGAGGAAGAGGGGGGGAAAATCCAAATATTATTTCCCTAACATTTTCGTTTCCCTTCCACTAGCCTCCCAAGTCCACGGGGGCATGGATCTTGAACTACGTCTGATTTCCTAAGAGCACCGACTTCACAATAGCCGTTTTCCACTCTGTTTTTCTATTTTGATAAAATCCAGCCGGAACTCAGATATTTCTTTTCTGAAATCGAACATCAGAAGAGCAAAAAAATACTTTTTCCGAGAGCTTAGGGATGTCCGTGCCTCAAAAGGTGCTGTATTCTTTGGCGTATTTCTGTGTTTTCTTTGGCTCTGCTCGTTCGGAGGGGTGTGCATTTTTATTGGCAGAAAAGTACTTTTTCGTCTCTGCCCTGTACAATCCGCTTTCTATATCATCCCTTTCATGCAACAATAGTAAAAGTTTAACCCGGTTTTTAAAATAGGTCTCCCTGGGTGTCAGCCTTCAGCGACGACACAAAGCTAAAAGGAAAGTATCTCGGTACGGCGAGTTTGCTCCTACGGGTTAACAGTATGTCAAATAATTTTAACTAGGCTTCTGGCAATTAAACTCGGAGTATTTGTCAAGCTGGGGTAGCCCAATATCCACTGGTTTTCCAAGCGTTTAGTTGCAGAGTGAGGCGGAGAGATCAGCAAACAGTCTTTAGCTCTGTGGTCTGCACTCTAAAGGGCTTGCTGGTTTTCTGGCGTTGCGACTGAGGCAAGGGATGGTTTGGAGAGGGTGAGGAGGGGAAACCTGCGTCCTGGGGACCCGACATTGTTAACCACCTCCAGTAAAGCTTGGCTGAAGCCGCGCGGGGTATTTAAGGTTAATATGTAAGTAAGGGAAGGAAGACACTAAGCGCTTCGGAAGTGAACATGAATGCAAGCATGTAATCTATTCACCATGAAAATCAGTAAAGACTTGACCCTGGCACATTCTTCCTAGTAAGGTTTCCAGAAAAAACCCCGAAGAGTGAGGGCTTTTTTTATTTTTTTTCTTTTCTTTTTTTTTTTTTTTAGGGGCGAGGACGGAAAGCTCAAACCGATCCCAAAAAAAAAAAAAAAAAGAGGGGGGGGAAAAGAGAGGGGAAAAAAAAAGGGGGGGGGAAGGAGGGTTTTTTCAGGAGCGTTTTCCTCCTCCTCGTATGCAGCTTTCCTCGAGAAAGCGTGCGTGCATCTCTAGGGTGCCCTCCTTCTCGGAGCCTGCCAGCGAGCCGCCGAACGCCCCAGCAAGCGCACAAACAAACAGAAAGGTCTCACCTAACCCCGGGGGGGATTGATAAGCCTCTCTGCTCCAGAGCCAGAGGGTGCCAGGGGCCGGGCCGCTAAAGATCGGAAGCCCACCCCAAAAAAAAAAAAAAAAGAGTGGGGGGAAAAGAGAGAGGAAAAAAAAAGGGGGGGGGAAGGACGGTTTCTTCAGGAGCGTTTTCCTCCTCCTCGTATGCAGCTTTCCTCGAGAAAGCGTGCGTGCATCTCTAGGGTGCCCTCCTTCTCGGAGCCTGCCAGCGAGCCGCCGAACGCCCCAGCAAGCGCACAAACAAACAGAAAGGTCTCACCTAACCCCGGGGGGGATTGATAAGCCTCTCTGCTCCAGAGCCAGAGGGTGCCAGGGGCCGGGCCGCTAAGTCTGGGGCAGTGGCAGGGCGGCAGTGTGTCCCCCCGGGCTCCCCCCCGGCCAACCTGCGCTGGGCTCGCCCCCGGGCGCTGGCGACGAGCTGTTGCTCTCCCCCTTTGCGACGGCCACAAAGGGAGCGGGGCCCGGGCCCGCCGCTCGTCAATGTCAACGTCGGGCCACGTGACCGCACCTCCCGCCGCCGCCGGGAGAGCTCTCCACGTCAGCCTACGTCTCCCCATCCCTTACTTCACGGATCCGCTTCAAAGGGGCAGCTGCGTTACAGAATCATGTTAAGCTCAGCTAATGCGGAGAAGCCGAGGTAGCCCTAATGATGGATTTTGATGAGCGTGTTCCTTGTTCCTCTAACATGTATTTGCCAAGTTGTACTTACTACGTCTCGGGTCCTGATTTTTCCAGCCTCCCTTCTTTTTTGCCCCAAACCCCGTCTTCTCGCCCTATGACATACTCCTACTCCTCCAACCTACCCCAGGTCCAACCTGTGAGAGAAGTTACCTTCAGGGAATATGCCATTGATCCCTCCAGTAAATGGCACCCCAGGAACAATCTGCCCCACTGCTACTCGGCAGAGGAGATCATGCACAGAGACTGCCTGCCTGCCACCAACACTGCTAGCATGGGCGAGATGTTCGGCAAAAACACAGCTAACGTCTACCACCCCAGCACCAACGTCTCCTCCAATTTCTATAGCACGGTGGGCAGGAACGGGGTCCTGCCCCAGGCTTTCGACCAATTTTTCGAGACGGCTTATGGCACGGCGGAAAACCTGGCCTCGGCGGACTACCCGGTAGACAAGAGTGGCGAGAAGGCGCCCGCGGCCGCCGGGGCGGCGGCGGCGGCAACTTCAAGTTCGGAGGGCGGCTGCGGCAGGGCGGCGGCGGCCACGGCGGCGGAGAAGGAGAGGAGGAGGCGGCCGGAGAGCAGCAGCAGCCCCGAGTCGTCTTCCGGCAACAATGAGGAGAAATCCGGCAGTTCCAGTACGTATAAAGGCAGCGCCGGAGCGCTTTTAGGAAAGGCAGCTTGAAATCTAGCGCACCGCCGCTGTTAAATTTTTATATGCTGTTTTATAAGCATATAAGGTTTATGAAGGGCCTTTAGATTTCCCCCAACAAAACTTTGTTATAAAAGGCGAGATCACGTGTTTAGTGCTGAAATTGGCCGTGAAATACCCACCGGGCAATGGATGCCTAATTTTTTTTTTCCTTTTTCTTCTATTTTTTTTAATTTTTTTCTGCTTTTTTTTCTTTTTAAATAACAATAAAAAACCAGTTCCGTGGTCAGCTCTTGAAAATATAATAATGTTAGTTCTGTGCCTGTAAATTCGGCAAAAAAAGGAGATCCTGACTCCTTTGATATCAATGTAATCCAGTGATTTTATAAAAGCCATGTGTTGCACCAGAAGTCTAGTTAGGAGCTGAATTCAAAGCCTTCGCCGTTTTAACGATTGCGCTAGAATAGCGTTTAACAGATAAAGTAGCCGCCTGAACTGTAGCAATATATTAAAAGAAGCAAATTAACCTAAAGCTGGCCTTTTTGTCTAAAGGAAGCCATTTTACTAAGGCACTGTGGCAATTACGTGTTGCCTTCTGTCCAACAGTTTGTTACTTACAATTGTTATTCAATCTGTCAAAGTCTGATTTTTTTATGTGGGCTTTTTAAAAGGCAAAGCTAGTATACGGCCGGCGGAAAAAAATACCTCGACAATGAACTGTACCAGAAAAGGAAGTTTTTAAAGGGATAGCAGCTACGTTTAATGTAAAGAGCTCCTGAACCTTGAAACCTTTTATATTCTGCTTAATGAACTTTAAAACCGTAATGGCTAATCGAGAGGAGAATACCTCGGTGCGGTGGAGAACGTGCTTGAAAATAGCCGGCTAGGGGGAGAGGGAAACGCCTCAGCCTTGGGCTCTGGGGTTTTTCCTCTGCTCGGGACGTGGAGAGGGGATTAGGCCAGGGAAGGAGGGCGAGATGCGGGCGGGCAGGGGCTCGGGAGGGCTGGGCTGCTGCCCGCTGCAGGCAGCCAGGTGATGGCTGCTCCCTGGGCGGCTCGGCGTGCGCGGCGGCGCCCGGCGGAGCAGCCTACAAAGGCTTTCCTCCGGCTCGTGAAATCCGCGAGAACCCCCCGCCACCAGCCTTTCCTGCAGCCGCCCTCCCCGCGGAGGAAGCGGGGCCGGATCCCCGCGTCCCGGCGGGGGTTTCGCCCCGCGCGCCGCCGGGGCCGCGGCGCTGCGGGAGCCGGGCTGTGCCGGGGGTCCCGGGCCCCGCTGCCCGCGCCCGCCACGGAGGAGGGCTGGCGCCAAGCCCCAGAGCCACCAAGTCCGGCCCCGGAGCGGGCAAAACGCCTCTTTTCCACATTAAGTGCTTTCCCTGAGAGTACCCCCGTTCCTCCTCAGCCCCCGCCGCCGGCCACCGCCGGGTCTCAAATGGTTCTGCCTTTTTTCGCTCCACAGGTGGACAACGTACGCGTAAAAAGAGATGCCCATACACCAAATACCAGATTAGAGAGTTAGAAAGGGAATTCTTCTTCAGTGTCTACATAAACAAAGAGAAACGCCTCCAGCTCTCCCGAATGCTCAATCTGACCGACCGTCAAGTCAAAATATGGTTTCAGAACAGAAGAATGAAAGAAAAAAAAATTAACAGGGACCGATTACAATATTACTCAGCTAATCCACTACTTTAAAACTCATAGCGTTTTTCAAGACGAGATTAAATTCAGATTTCGCCCTTGACAAGGTCAAGCCACGGGGTTACGTGGAGGAAGGAGGTGTGTATCTGACGGGACTAGAAGAATCTAAGGTTTTACACACACGTAAACCTACTCTGGAACTGCGATGATGATTTTTTATATATATATTTACATATCAACTGGAATCGATTTGATTTTGACACACATGGGATCCATTTCTAAACGTGCACGTCACCTCTGAGTGCAAAATCCATACCTCTTACCTTTCCAGGCACTGCGGCTCACCCTGCCACCGCTTTCGGCAGGCACGGGCGGGGACGGTCCTTCTCCATCCCCGGACTCGCCCATCCTCGGCCCTTTCTCTGCCCTGTGCTGCTGTGGAACAGCTGTCTGGAGACTGCCAGCTCGGCCTCACCCAACCAGGACCACTGCAGAATATAAACTCTGAGAACTAATCTTTTGTTCTTCCTTAGGAAAATGTCTGGGTTGGAGGCAGCGTTCCATTGCTCATGGGTTTGAAATAAGAATTGAAGGACGGGCACGCACACGGACACACACACACACGGACACACACACATACAGAACTAAAGAAAGGGGGGGATGTCATGTCCACACCTTCCTGGGGCCAACCGCGAGTAGTTGTAATATGGATGTAGTGATGGTTATAGTAGCGTTTCCTTTGGGGGTGTGGGGTGGGATGGGGGCGAGAGAAAAAAGACCGAAATGAAAAAATTAATTATTTACTTTTAAAAATCAGGTATAAATTCGCCATATGTCGTAAAGAAACAATCACTGAAAATAAAATTAGAAAAAATTAATTAGCTCTTGTTTTATTTATGACAACACACTATGCGTTGCCATCTTTTTGGAGACAAATCATATACAAATACTAAAAATAAATCGGTGAAAAAGTGTGAATTTCAGCATTTTGAAAGAAACAACTCCTTAAAGGAAACTAACCTTCTGGCTTCTGGCTCACAAACTTTCTTCAGGAAATACCTGTGGAGAACGACAGTTTAGCAAATACCACACAACACTTAATTGAAACTTGGAGTTGTGCAATGCACTAACATTGGATGATTAAAATAACTCTATTGCATGTTCGTTTAAAGGTGACTAGAGAGGAGTTTAAACAGAAGCCAAACAATGTAAATATGGTAATTTTGTTGTCGTCTACTTTAAATGTCATGAGCTCTACTTTGTCGCCCAGTCGACGTATGCAAAGAATGGAGAGTTGTTTGAACTTATTTTAAATATCTATAAATATATATATATTTCCCTGCAGGAACCAAAGTGTGAAAAAAAATGCAATTTAAAAAAACAAAAAAAAAGAGGAAAAAAGGAAAATATTTAAAATTCTATATCAGTTTACAAAGGATACCGTGTTCTATCATTGAGGTAATTTGCTGTCGAGAATATCTGAATGTATATTTCATACAGGAATGGTGTTTTACAAGACTTGTAAATAATAAAAAAAATAAGAACCCATGACCTATTTTGTTCGAATGCCCTTTTTTTTTTTCCCTGGTTGGTTTTTTTTTTGTGGTGTTTTTTTTGGTTTTTTTATTGTTCCTTTGGGGCTAAAGGGTGTGGGATTTCTTTACATGTGCAGCAAAGTGGTGATAAGAATGTTTTTGACTAATAAATTTTGCCAAATGGATGTAATTTCTTTGTCACAATTCACAAAATGCAATATCTTTATATGATGTCACTGTTTTCAATATGTATCATCTATATGTATATACAGTTTTCTTTTAATATGCGCAAGTATTTGGTTGCATGTATACAGTGGAGCAGCGCACAAGGAAAATAAAAAAAAAAAAAAAGGAAACTTTATATTTTTACTCTGGTGTTACGTTACTGCGCGTTCTTTCACCCGATGTAACTCTGGGACCCGAAATTCCTCGTGACCTTCTTCAGTCATTTGGGGCGAATTACTCTTCTTTTGTGAACTTCATCGTCAAATCTTCTACTCTGGAGTTAACAAGTGAACCTAGGCTTGTTTGAGCATACTTCCAGCGGGTCACAGGAAAAGGAAAATTAAGTGTGTTCATAGCTCGCTACGTGTTAGGCCTTCTCCTTCTGCTGCCAGCACCGGCGGGGCAAGGTCCTGTGCTCGAGGGCTGGATGTGCCATTGCTGTTTGCTCCCCGCCACACGTGTCCAGGAGAAATGCTTGGCAGTAGCGTTGGGGACGCATTTTATAAGCTGGCACCAAAGGGAAGGTTCAAGCCAGCTGATGGATGTGGCCAGAATCTGAGAGCCCTAAGAAAATTGTTGTCTTTGGGGAAAGGAATCCGCATGGCAATGTGGTGGAAATGGACTGTTTGAAATTGTCCTTGATCTCCAAGGCAGGGAGGGGGTGGACTGAGGCGGGCAGCGGGGGGAGGAGGGCTGGAGGGAGAAAGTTGGACAGGGCAGGGGGGGAGAAAGCCCCAAACACCAAACAATAGCTGAGCCAGGAATGTGTTTTGAGGAGAGTATTTGAATCTTTAATGTTGACCCTAATCCTAATCAGCAGAAGAAAGTGGATTCTGTTTTTGCATTGTTTACTGGCTTTGAACTTCTGTAT